AATACTATATTAGCCCTCACTTTTTATTTCTCTAACTTCAGATGTGAAGATTTTCCTCTTTTTCTCAAAACTTTTCTGCTTTTCTGCTCAATCTGTTTAGCACTGATGTTTTTGTTCTTTCAATTCTGGCAGCTTGAACTGTGAGAAGCGAATATTTGAGGTGGTCAATTCTTCTGATCATCCATTCCTTGTGAACATGTTTGCATGTTTCCAGACCCCTCACCATGCCTGTTTTGTGATGGAATACACTCCAGGTGGGGATCTGATGATGCGCATACACGAAGATGTCTTTCCAGAGCATATGGCACAGTGAGTTAGAATTACTCTTGTCTCCGGGCACTATAAATGTTTAACTTGAATCTCATATATTGCCTGATAACTGTTTCTGTCTTTTAGGTTTTATACAGCCTGTGTAGTCTTGGGGCTCCAGTTCTTGCATGAGAAGAAAATTGTTTATAGGTAATGCAGCAGAGACTCAAGACAGTTCAGCAACTTGAAGGTTGATTTTTCCTGTAGCTGTGTCTGGAGCTCACTTTCTTGCTGGGGTTTCTAATCTTTCTGCCTGTCTTTATTTTCCCTGTCACTATCAGCATGTTCATCGTGCTCACAGTAGAGAAAGTCACCTAGAAGCTATTCATCTGGCATGTTGCAGGTGATTAATCCTCTGTGACATGTCAATACATTCTGGGGGGCACCTGTAAGTCACTGCTTTCTTTTCAGTGGGATAGTCAGGTAATTTGTCATGCTGTTGTGGGAGCTCTTTTCCAGATGAATAATCTCCACCCAGCTCCATGCTGCTTTTTGAGCCTTTTGTTTAGGGAAAAATATCAGTCAGTTAAGGGGAATCTTCCAAATAATGCACGATTAAACCAAATGTAGACTTTACTTAATCTAGATTTTATTCTCTTGATTAATATATACCTTCTGCCTCTTGCAAAAAAGCCATATTGGATGGCAATCTTCAGTCTTTATCCACTGTTTTCTTTCATCTCCTGTGCTTGCAGGGACCTGAAATTGGATAATCTCCTTTTAGATGCTGAAGGATTTGTGAAGATTGCAGATTTTGGATTGTGTAAGGAAGGTGAGTAACTGGAGAAGCCTAAATGAGCCATCAGGATCAGTTTAGGATCTAAGGGCTTTAGTAGGTGTTTGTGTGTAACTTGTATTAATCCCCATTTAAAAAATTACCATCAAAAAAAGCCAAACAAAAAAACCTTCACCTGTCTGGCCATGATGAATTTGGGAAGAATACCTTGTTGTGTAATGTTCAGGAGACTTATGAAAGCATTTAAAATGTGCTTGTTTGCTCAAAGGAGCCAGAGTATAGGATCATATAAAACAAGTAGATGAATAGTTCCCTTGGGTTTGCTGTTTATTTAATCATTGTCTGTATTTTGTTATTTGGAGTCACTGGGGGCCTCAGGTTTCGCACTTCTCACTGGCAATTCCCCATGCCTGGGTAACAATATCAGGTGACAAACTACAGCTTTCAGGAGGTGAGGCTGCATCAGATCCATTCAGAAACTTGTGCTGGGTTTTACCAAAGTGTCCTTTTCTTACAGGAATAGGTTTTGGAGACCGGACAAACACCTTCTGTGGCACCCCTGAGTTTCTGGCCCCGGAAGTGCTGACAGACATCTCGTACACGCGGGCAGTGGACTGGTGGGGCCTGGGTGTGCTCATTTATGAGATGCTTGTTGGTGAGGTAAGGCCAGCTTCCCTTAGGGGATCTCACTAACCAGGCTTGGGGACTTGACCACTTGAGGTAAAATATTGCTAAACATAGCCAGTTAAGTGGTACTTCAGTTACGTTTTTCTCATTCATACTGCCAAATAGTAATTAATTAATCCATACTGCTATTCTATTAATTAATCCATCCTGCTATTCTCATGCCTATTTAATAGTGAGGAATGGGTGCTATGTGGGTTGAATAAAAGAATGTCCCAATTGCAGTCACCATTCCCTGGAGATGATGAGGAGGAAGTCTTTGACAGCATTGTCAATGATGAAGTCCGGTATCCACGATTCCTTTCAACTGAAGCACTTTCCATAATCCGTAAGGTAAAGGGCTGATGGGTCTCTGGGAGCCTGAGGAATTTGTATTTACTGTGTAAGTGGATCCAGAGGGACTTGATTAGGATTGTACAGCACTTGTGTGTATAATCTGGAGCTGCCTACATAGGCTAAGGAAATATTTAAAATTTGCACATATTTTCCCTTCCTCCTCTTTACGTAAATGCAGTTCTTCTATGTAAGGATGACTAAGCAAGCTGCTTACTGTTCCTGCTAAGTCTGGCACATAGAAGTGTTGATTCAAGGGCAAGAGTGTCACAGTCATTCAGTGGAGATGACTGGATTCAGTTTTTGAATGTGACCCCATAGTCACAGGTGCACAATTAAGCTGAGATGCTCCATGCAGTTCATGGCAGGTATCTTATCGCTGTTGGCAAATTGTTTACAAGGAACTAGGTCTGAGTTATTCCTGGCAGATGATGACCTTGGTGCAAAGTGAGAATGAGGAAACACATCCTTTCTTTTGTTTTTCTCTCTGAAACATTATTTCTGTCAATTCTTGTTCCCGTTGTTTAATTTTGAACTGATATCTCTGCAGCTGCTTCGGAAATGTCCAGAGCGTAGACTGGGAGCAGGGGAAAAAGATGCAGAAGAAATTAAAATTCAGCCCTTTTTTAAGGTAGGAACTTGGTTGCTACCTCTTCCTTGTTTCTTGTGTTTGAGCAGAGAGTGATTTGCTCTCTGTTGGTATTGAGGCTCATTTCCCTTTGTTATCAGGGAGATCTCAGTTTCTGTTGCACCTCGTTGCTCCATTCAGGAATATGTATTTCAAGTCTTGCTTGAAATGACATCCCCCAAGTCTGTTTTCTGGGATCTTTATGCTTCCAGAGTCAGTTATTTTTGATTGTGCTGCTTCTATGTACAAATATACTTAGCTTTTGAGACATGAACAAATATTCCTTTTAAAATAAAACTGAAGCATCAAAAATGTTATCTAGTGATGACAGTGATAGTCTATTTGATTACCTGCATTTGCAGGATACACATGACTCTTAAGAGAATTGGAGATTAAATTGTTTTTGTCAGGGGTATGTGTTTGTTCCAGGCAAAGGTGTTGCCATCCCTCCTCATTATTACTCATCTGTCCAAAAGTTTTTACCCTTATAACCCTTGTCTGGCTTTGCACTGGAGCAAGAAAAGAACTTGGATGTCAGCAGAAATTGCTGGAATCTACAGATCCACCAGGCCATGGCTGAGCTGTAGTTTTGTCCTTCCTAAATACAGTTGTAGCTGTAAAATCCACTGCATGGAATCTCTTCAGTACCTCCTGTTCTGTTTGTTTGGGGCCTTTTTTCAGTTCTCTCTCTTTTTTTAATTAGTAGAAATAAGACAGGTTGCAAATGATCTGTAAGGGAGGCTGCAATTCTCCCTCTGACTTTCACATTTCTTAAATAATCTTGGTGTCAATCTGGCCTGTTGCCTTCCTTTTCTTACAGGGAATTGATTGGAATGCCTTGTTTGCCAGGAGGCTGAAGCCCCCCTTTGTGCCCTCACTAAGAGATCCAACCGACATCAGCAACTTCGATGAAGAGTTCACTTCCCAAAAGCCAATCCTTACTCCTCCTGAGGAGGTTTCTCTCCTCACCTGTAAGGAGCAGACTGCCTTCAAGGACTTTGACTTTGTTTCCAGACGTCTTTTAGATGTGTGATTTCTGGGCTACAAAAATATGGAAACATGAAGAGATTGTTACCAGAGAAGACTTTGCAGGGCCAGTGGAAAAACCAACAGGATTTGTAGTACAGGTAGTGATGATGGCCCCAGGATGAGGTGCCCTGCAAGCTGAATTAACCTGCTGTGGGTTTTCCAGCCTCATGTGTTGGAAGGATCCTGGATGTCAATTAACTTTAAGGAATGATTAATGTTTGATGGAGTATATCTTCTGTCATTGAATGTAGATGAAATTTGGAACTTAAGCTGGACTTGAAATCAAATCATCTCTGCAACCCAGGTTACTCTTTGCAAAAAGCCTAAGCAGTGTGATTTTTTTAAAGTTGTAGCATAGCAGGGGAGTGGCCATTTCTCACTGATTTTCTAGAGATGCAGCATTCCCTCCTGGTAATGATTGTACGCCAACTCCCATAAAAATGTTTATGCTAGGCAAGGAATAGATTTTAACACTACCAAGACAATTATGTTTGATAATGATCCAAGTGATTTATCAGAAGGAAGATGAATCTTTTTACTTAAGAATGCCAACTTTTAGCTATTGTTTATAATGATATCAAACTCCACAGCTTGGCACAAGTTTTTTTTTCTTTTTTGAAAATAAAGATACCTTTCTATATAATAAATATTCAGCTTTCATTCTCCTTTGTGTCAGCTGAATGTTTCAGATCAGGGCTAACCAAATGCTCAACAGGCAGGAGTTTAGTTTTCTCCATAAATGCCAGAAGTAATATTTTCTTTCTTTCTTCCTTCTCACTCAGGTTGTCTGTGTACATATTGCACGGTGTCGTCAGCTGTCAGATACCAATGACTGCAGTCAGGTTATCTCTCCACAGATTTTATCAGTGTGTGCATCCTGTATAATTTTTGGGGACAGCTAAGTAATGACAGTCAGTACTGGAAAATCAGTGAGTAAAAGGTGATTTTATTGCCTTGTAATCTATCTTTGTAATTATACTTGATAAAATACATTTTCATGTCTTAAATTCATAATGTTAGCTCATTAGGCAGAAAGGGAAGGCTTATTTAGAGATAAGGCATCTGATGCAAACAAGGACACAGTCATTGCTCTTTCAGTTTGTCTTCACCAGATGGGGACAGGAGTGGGCCTAAGGCAACTGTGCTGTAGCTGGAGACAAGGATCTAGGGACTTGTTGAGCCAAGGCAGGTCCCAGTGCTTCAGGATTCAGTGAGGTAAGAGCTCTGTTTGTGCACACCAGGGATATTTCACACTCAACCTAGATTTCCTATTTCCAGAGCCAAGTATAGCTGCTTCTGAAAATTCCCATGTACAAAGATCCTTCCAACCTCCCACTCACCCTGGCAGTGCACTGGCCTGTTTAAAGCAGGATACACATTTTCCTCACTCTTGCTGGAGTGGCAGTTGCTGTTGGCCTCTGTGGTGTGTTTTGTGGCTTTAGTTCAAGGCCACTGTGCAGTGGGAGGTAGCACAGTGGATTGTTAGCACAGGTGAAACCTAGAACTTGGGTTCAAAGAGAATCACAGACAATTTAAAAATGCATATTTAATATTTTATTTTATAATTTATGGTTGAGTAAAAAAAAAGGTAAATTAACACCCAGGTGTATTTTAAAGAAATACCAGACAGAAGAAAACTGTTTTGAGCTGTTGTACCTGCTGATAAACTTTCACTTGACCTGAAGAACCAGGAATTGCAATGTGACAGATGATCCACACTTTAGCAGGTACCACAGCAACACAAGCAAACTGCAGAATACTTCTGAATGGTGTAGCAGCTTCAAAATAACAATCTTTAGCATTCTGATATCCCTCTGATAAAGCTTCTACTCTGAACAAAGCAGACTGTGCACAGATTACAAACTCTAGAGCTAGTTAAAAAAGGGATCTTTTGCTGCACTTAAATTGCTTTTGGTGTGTCGTGCTGTGTTAGTAACTACACTGTCTTTTCATGAGTGTTCATCAGCTTTAAACCCTGAGTGCTTCTGAGTTAGTGTTAATTCCTGAGCCAAGACAATTAAGGCACAAGATAATTTTAACTAACATTTTGTTGTGGTGGTTTTTCTTGTTTTGTTTTTGTTTTAACAGAAAAGGGTCAGGACTAAAATTCACACCACAGCCTTTTTTGTTTTAAAGCTAAGATCGGTCATCCCAAACTTCCTTTTAGTTCCCCGTGGAAATCTGAAGTGTGGCCTTTTATTTCAATGGAAAACAGATCCTCTTGCTGCTGTCCTAAAAGCTGTCAGCATCTCTCATCTCAGGACCTGGCAGCTTTTCTCTTGCACTGAAATTGTATTATTTTATGAAAATGTCACTAGTGAGTTGAGGTAGTATAGTGTTACCAATAGTGTTACTTTAGTTAGGCCTGAGATACCCACATCTGCTCCTGCTTCTTTCCCAAGCTACAGCAAAAAGGCCTGAGCACAACATTATTTGCAGAAATAACTCAGTAGCCAATTATTACTTTTCTGTCCAAAGAAAAGTGATGGAAAGCATTAACTTGAGGCATGTGTACAAAATAAAATTTGTTTTTAATTCTCTAAATATTTACTCAAATATTTCTCTTACATGCCTGATGCTACTGCCAAAAGGCACTGCAGTTCTCACAGTCAGAACCTGGCTGAAAAAAGGCCACAGAAATTACACTGATCCTGGCTGATTTTATCTGTAATTGCTGCTGTTCCCTAGCAGCAAAAGGCGAGGGAGACCTTTGAGAAGAGAACACGAATAGTCACACTAATCTTGCATTTCTTCTGGAGAGATGTGGATGCATTTAACAGAAGGAAATAAATTTAGAGAGATACTTTCTTCAGTCTGGAAGTCAGCTCTGCTGGCTTTGCCCTTCCCAGAACTGTATTCTTGCCTTTAAGAGTATTATTTATATATAAAAAATAACCCTGAATATCCCTGAAATATAATTTGCAGATGAACAGGTTGTGGAGCAGATTGCATAGTCCATGATGCACTGAAGTTCAGTGCAAGGAAACAGCAGCCATTGCATTAGCAAAGTTTTACCCAGCAGCCTGTCAGGTGTGTTGGCACACTGGGACTATACAGGCTCACTGTTCTTGTGAAAATAGATGTTCTCCCATTCAGTGAGGTGGTGTGAACAGAAGAATCCCCAGAGATTGAGGATTATCCCTTGGTCAAAGGGGTTCTCCAGCTCGGAGTGCCGCAGGTAGGAGATGCGGTGGTGTGACATGAACTCCCAGGTCGTGGTGTTGCATGAGATCAGGTACAGGTGGGAAACAAGCAGCAGCAGGACCACAATGGTGAATATGAATATCAGGAGGAAGGACACAAGGAGGAAAATGTTGTGCTGCAGCCACTCCCTGGATTGTTCAAAGTAGAGGCCTGACCTTTCAATTCAAACAGAAATAAATCTGCAGTTAAAGAAGCAGAACTAGTTTCATAAACTAAGCAAACCTGATGACACATTTAAGTTTGATTCCTAACTAATGAGCTGCTAATAATCCTTGATTACAGAGAGTTAATATAGTATGAAGTCCTGAGAGACTGCACCATAGGGATTGGAATCTAAGTTTAGAAGATGCTGTTTTCCTGACAGGTGTGAGACACAATCACCCTGGGTTAACTCCTCTCCTGAACAGCTGGAACCCTGTTGGAGTTTCCAGCACTTGAATGTGTAAACAAAAATCCTGTTACAGGGACTGAAGCAAAATGAACAATGAAACCTAAATTATCAGAGACTGCTCAATATTAGGGGGCTGTGGGATGCAAAAGAGGGTGAAGATCCAAAGCCAGTCCAGCCACTGCTGTGTTCTATGCCAGCCCAAGGAGCACTACAACTTTCAGCAATCTCAGAGGTCCAAAAGCCATCTCCCAGCCTTACCAAGCAACATGGCCTCCCCACAGGAGAACCACGAGCTGCACGCTCAGGTAGACTATGAAGAGGGGGTGATTCCTTTCTCCTACACAGTTCTCAAGCCAGGGGCAGTGATGGTCGTAGCGCCGCACGCAGTGCTGGCACAGCTGGCAGTGCTTGGCTCGCATGGGTTGCTGCAAAAGAATCAGGAAAAGAAAAAACCCACTGGCTACAGTTCATGGCTGTCCCACTCCTGTTTGGTAGAAGAGAACATAATGCAAATCAGTCTTTCTCCATAATATTGGTCCTAAAACACTCCCTTGTGAGACAACAGCGCAACAACATCACTAAGAAAAATCAAAGGGATTGTGATTCTCCTGATGAAGACCCAAATGAGTGGCATTCAAATTAAGTGATTCTCCCACCCTCCTATCTAGACATTTTCTTTATTATCCACCTATTATAGGAAGTCCAGCATCCCCAGGAGGAAGACAAAGCCAATCAGTGTAGTCAGGAAAGCATGAGCCAGAGTATTGAGGTGAAAAACTAGAACCAGTACTATCAAATAGAGTGGGCAGGGATGTGATGCTTTTTGGCGACGCACAGAGAAGTGCCTCCATGTGAATACATGAAAACACAGAAAACAGCTCAATTACCAGGCACAGAGAAGGTGAAAGACTTAGCTGAGAAAAGTAGTGCTTCCTAGGATTTGTCCCCTGCAGTGTGTAAGTGCTTTGCCAGCTTTCCCTCTTGCAATAAGCTCATTCCTCCTTGTTGATACTCTTCAGGAATTTATGGGAGCTGGGGTAATGCTTAATTTCATTAAACTGACAAGGATCACTGAAAACAAGCTTTTCTAGGCTTAGGCTAACTGTTTTAAGAGCTAATTTCATTGCTGTAATTTCTCCTCCATGCTGTTTTTTACCATCCAGGCCAATATTTTGTTGTTTTAAGGCCCTGAACAAATTCACAACAATGAGCAGTTCCCACAGCTGCCTTTCTGACTATCAAGGTATTTTCAAAGTAACTTCTTTGACAGTACTGCAAGGTCTGGCTGACATGGCAGTAAGAATGTGGAATACAATTTTCTCATGGCAAAAAAAGATTCTTGTTTCTATAAGCCAGCAGGGACTTGTTCCAGCCTTGGAAAACTGGTCTGTGTGCCAGTGTCCATCACTATTACTTGTGTAGCTACACAGTCTGCCCTCTTCTAAGCAGCAATTACAGTCCACCAACAGCAGCTGAAGAGCAATATAAGCTTTCAAATCACTCATCCCTTTCTCTTCCAGCATGTTCTGGATGCCCACCTTCACCAGGCAGTAACCACAGCGCCGCAGCTTAATGTCACCTGGAATCAGAGGGATCACCACACCTTGTCCTTTATCTTCACCTTCCTACAAAAAAGAGAAAGGGAGGGACTGAGGAGGGTTCTTGGGCTGCTGTCTAGGCATAACTGAGCTGTCTTGCTGCATCTTTTTATTTAACAATTACACAGTGCTTGTTATCTCTATCATTAGGAATGAAATAATTCATTAGAATACCTAGAGAAGGTGCAGACAGTTATGGTACAGTGAAAAGAGAACAGGTTACTGTAACCCTCCAAAGAATGTTTGCAGAGAGGCAGAAATAACTGTGGACAAGATACAGTCTGGGACAAAAACAAGGTTAGACTTCACTTCTAAACACAGTAACAATGTATTTTCAGTATGAGCACTGCTAATTAGTCATACACAGCCAACACTGACATTAATGATGGATGCCTAAGATTGACAGTGTTTTTGTCCTACACAGTCTATAAGACAGTGAACCTTGAGCAGACTAGCAGTTACTGAAACTTTGCATCTCCATTTATTTCACTGTTTGTGGACATGTTCTCTGAGAGGGCAACAAATCCACAAAGAGTTCAATAAATAGAGCTGCAGAGAGCACTGTCTGCCAAGCTTGCCACTCAGTTCGGGGCATTTTTTTGCACTTGTACCACTTAGCAGCGGTTATTGTAAAATAGGTCATATAGACATTCTGCAGGGCACTGCAGCCTCTGCTCTAGGAGAGGACTTGAGCTCAAATGGCGCAGTTATGTACAAGGGCAGTGTGATGTGACAGGCACATTTAACAGCCCTATTGCTGCTACAAAATACCAGTGTGAGACAGTCCGTCCTCGTCTCCAATGGTCTGTGCATGTGTCCTTCATGCCAGCACAACAGAAACTGTTTCAGATTGTTCTTATCTACCAGAGCGGAAAAAAGAAGAAAAGGCTACAGACTTTACAAGTACTCCACTTTGTTCTATTCATGAAGGGATTTACCTTCACTTCCTCTTCAGGCTTAACAAAACCCGGATCCATGAGGGACACCTTTAAGTACAGCAGGATCGAGCATAAAACCAGCAAAACGAAGATCAGCGGCTGAAGCAGCTCCCCGCGCTCCTCTTGCTTTTGCAGATCTGAAAGGTACCCATAAAAGACAGAGAGCACCAGCTCCTTGCGAAGCGTCCTGGATTTTTCTCTCTGGCCTCAACAAAGGGGTCCCGAATCTAAGAGGAGGAAATGGGGAGAGACCTGGCGGAGAGAGGAGGGGCTGAGGAGGGGCTCCGCAGTCCTCCCCGCCCTCGGGGCACCCCCGGGCACAGCCCGTGTTCCGCAGGGGCCGCGCGGCCGGCCGCGATCCCCGTCCTGCCCCGGGGGCGGCACGGCCCGGCCCCCGTGCCCGCAGCCCGGCCGGGCCCGCCTCACCCGTGCGGTGCAGGAGGAGCCCGAGCAGCAGCGCCGCGCTGAGGGCTGTGTGTGCCGCCCGCACCCAGCGCCCGCCGGCGCCCATGGCCCCCGGCTCCGCCGGCCCGCAAGGCCGCGCTGGCAGGGCCGCACGGACACGGGCAGCGCCCCGAGGCGGGGCCAGGGCGGCCCAGCCCTGCGGGGGAGGCTCCGCTGGGCCGTGGGACTGGCTCCAGCCCGGCGCGGGCAAACGCCCTGAGCCGGGGCTGCTCGGCTCATTGTGTCCCCCGCACCGCCCCGGCGTTGTTGTGCCCTGCGAGCCGGGCCTGCGGGGGCTTTCCTCCAGGAATGTGTTTCCCCTGAGCCTTTCTTTCCTCCAGGAATGTGTTTTCCCTGAGCCTTTCTTTCCTCCAGGAGTGTGCTTTCCCTGAGCCTTTCTTTCCTCCAGGAGTGTGTTTTCCCTGAGCCTTTCTTTCCTCCAGGAAAGTGTTTTCCCTGAGCCTTTCTTTCCTCCAGGAAAGTGTTTTCCCTGAGCCTTTCTTTCCTCCAGGAATGTGTTTTCCCTGAGCCTTTCTTTCCTCCAGGGAAGTGTTTTCCCTGAGCCTTTCTTTCCTCCAGGAAAGTGTTTTCCCTGAGCCTTTCTTTCCTCCAGGAATGTGTTTTCCCTGAGCCCTTCCCGCCTGTCCTCCCGCTGCCCTCAGCCCGGGCTCTGGAGCGCAGGGCTGGGCAGTGTTCCGAGCCTTGGAGCAGACCCTGCGGGAGGCTCGGGCAGCAGGTGCCGTTCAGAGGCTCCTCGAGGTGCTCGCCGAGGTGCTGCCCTGTGTTAATCCTGCTCTCACCAACGTGTTATTCCATGTGCTGGTTTCCAGCCCCCGGGAAGAAGCGCAGAGAGGCCGTGCCTGGCTGTAAGCAGCCACACGGCCCCATTAACCAAACAGAGCCTGGAGAACCTCTGACATAACTCGAGGAGGGATTTGATCTGGTTGAGATGGCTCCAATCAAGAGGCTCCTGGCTGGGTGAGGTAGCTGAACACCCCCGAGGACTGCCGAGGGAAGCAGGTATGGACTCTTCTCAGCTGGAACAGACACCTAAAAGCAATTGAATTGCACCTGAGATGCCTTTTTGTCTCTTCCTAACAATAGAAAAAAAACACCGAGGTGACTATAGCACATACATATTTACACTTTGAGTGTCTAAGGGAGATAAATGTCATCACAAATCTGTAAAAGTTCCAAAATCAGTGCTTTCTCTTTAATTCCTTTCAGTTTTAACATAGATAATAGTTTGCTGATTTTGTTACCTTCTTTCCCAATAAAAATTTGGAAAGAAATATAATATTCTTTATAAATTTACCCTCCAGCACCTGGTAGTGGATTCCTTGGCATTGTTTGCCCACAAATTATTTTAGTCTCTTCACATGAGTCAGTGGCCACCTGCTGATGCCAGGAAAGCACCTGGTTGTGTGGGTCACTTAAAGCTGTCTCACCTGAGACAGCTGGGTTGAAATGTTAACAAAAATCGTTGACTAAATTTCCAGCAATCATTCAAACTTTTTTTTTTTTTTTTTTAATTCTAGGTAAATGCAAAGCCTATGTCTCTCTTCCCTCAGACACCTCAGGCTGTACTGGTGCTCAGAAAAAGGTGGGTAGTGTCTTTCCTTCTTCACAGACAGGTGTAAATTTTAAACCTTAATGAAAGAAATTTGTGTAGTAATAGTATTATTCCCTTGAAAGTAGAAACATTTTGATGTTCTAGAATAATCTGTCCTAAGGAATATATTCTCACTCTTTGTGATTAAAATAATTGGGTGCAAGTTACTCTTATTATCTTCTCCTTCAGCTTTGAAACCTGTCTCACAGGGATCAGAACTCATCTCTTGTCTCAAGAGTTTCAGACTCAGTGACTGGTTGAAATTAGGCTCAGTTATAGAAAGTCTCTACTAATCAGTTTCTAAGGAGAATCTTGGTTCCTATGGCATTCCAGAATCCCATGCTGCTGGAAGGCTAAGGTATCCCTCTGGACTCTTACAACGCAGCATGTTTTCAGAGGCAGTTCAGTTTCATAGAAATGCTCCTCCCATCCTGTTCACCCTGCTCCTTTACAGACTCCACAGGGACCACTGAATTACCTGGCACTGAGCCCTTCCAGGACCAGGGTCTTAAGAAAGTTAGGCTGGCCTTAAAGCAGATTGGCTTCTCTTAAGGGCTCAGGTCCTGCCCCTTACAAAGCCTAGGTGTTGAGTGCGAGCTGCAGATGCATTACAGAGTTCAGAGCAATCCAGACACTCAAATATTGTCCTGATTATTTTCTCCTCTCACACAATTTCCTAACAATGCTCTCGTCCTCCACTACTTTCTTCTGTTGACAAGCAGTATTGTGTTTTTTGGAGTGATGAAAGGCAAAGGCACTGAACAGCATCATCAACACGTGGCAGTTCATTTTTAATTAAATATATGACAGCCAATGGACCAGTAATGTACCTAAATAAAACCACATTCATAGAACAAAGGAAGAAGACACTCTTGAGTGCTAGGTTTAATACACAGAGGGTATCCAATGGATACAACAGAAAAATTAATTCATTCAGAATTGTAAGGAAGAAACAGTTGTGCATTTTGATTTTTTTTTGCTCAGTTTCACCAGGTATAAACATTTGAACCAGGCCACAGCATCAGGCAGGTCCATGGACAGAGTAAAAGGAGACACTTGGTCATTATAACTGAGGGTATTTTCATTGCGAAACAAGGAAATACATATTTAGTTAGCTTAAAAACTTTTTTTAAAACAAGAAAAGAGTTACAGAGATAATCAGTGACAATTATATTAAATCAAAACAGTCTGCTAAAGCAGATGTGTTTCAGTTCAGCAGAGTACCTCCCTCATTCCCTAAGTGCTCTCTTCTCCTTCAGCCTCCATGTTGCTTTTCATCTATTCCTGATGACTATTGCCCTCTGTGCTTCATCCACATACATGGTTGTCTTGGAGACCAGCTGTTTCCCTACTTTTAATTATCTGTTTCCAGCACAAGCTGTCCTCTAACACCTGAGCTATGGCAGACTCCTCCCTAAACAGTCTCAAGGAAATGTCTTTTCTATGGATAGTGCCTGACTGCAGTGCCCTCTAGCTCTTGCCCTACTGGTAATTAATTGCCTTCTTCAGGTAATGAGAGGGAATTGATTCATAACTCCAAGACTTTTCTTCGCACTCATCTTTTGCAGAAACCAGAGTGACAGCAGCAGAAGCCCAGCCAAGGTGACAAGCTTGGTAGCATTCAGTGCTGAAGAGGATAATTTCAGTAGGAAAGTGCAGGGAAACAGCAGCTATGGTGCAGATGAATTATCTGCAGTGTTCTGATTGCCACAAATATCAGTGCTAAACTTTCTTGGCTTGGTCTAGATGAGAAAGTCTGGTGCTTCTGGGTGTTAAACATCATCCAAGTAGATGCCAATCCTTATGAGCAATTCCTCCCACAGATTTTGTAAAATGGAAGCACTGGTGGGAAGTTTGGTCTTATCTGCTCCAGAGAACATGGACACCTGGCACTGCTGGGTCACTGACAAAGGTCACTGGAGGACAGGGCAGCCTCCAGCCAGGAAGGAAACCACACACAGTTCAGGAAGAGGGTTCCTTTCTTTGCACATTCTCTTGCAGGGAGCTACTGAGTCATGTTCATGCTCTGCTTGCCAAACTTTGGAATATTAAAGGAAATGCAGTAGTGAAAACATGAAGAGTCTGAGTGGGACAACAGCTACTGAGCACAAGGGGTGCTTCTGCAATATCCTTACGTGCTGTGAACTTCTCTACAGCTGGATTTTCATTTGAAAAATAGAACCCCATTCTGATTTTCTGAGCAGGGTTGGTCACTGGCTGTATTATTTCGTGTGGACCTGAAGTTTCATGGCTTGTTCCTTTGACTCAGCAAAGCTGGAAGGCCTGAGAGGCATCCCTGGAGCAGTCAAGCGTTTCAGGGTATCCACCTTCCCCTTTTACATTAAACCTTCATAAAAAAATCTGCCACTTTGCCCTCCCTTCCTTTGCAGAACATTGATGTGATGTCTGCAGGCAACTCTCCTGTTCTGTCCTCAGCTCTGCATCTATGGCACCAGTTAAATCCTTGCCACCAAAAAATGTTTGCAGGTCATGCATATGCCATTGTTTCAGTTAGGGAAACTGAGGCCCAAACTAGTTTTAAACTTCCAATTATGGGAATTGTTGGATTGTGCTCTGGTGCTCAAAGGATACTTTTTACTCTTTGATCCTTACTGAGGGCAAAATGTTATTTTTCAGCTCACAAAATCTTGAAGACACTTAAGGTAGGCAAAGCTCATGTTACTCTAACAGGGGTGTTATTCCTTTTAATGTGCTGCCTTAGGCATTTACCTTGCTGGTGGCCTGACTGAAAATCTTACATGAGGTTTTCTGTAATTGCCCAGTTAAGAGTTCCCCCTTTCACCTGGGAATGGTGACAGATTTCAGCAAGCTGAGCTTTTCTGTCAGGCTGGCCTGGTTACATTCATTTCCTTATTGAAACTGAAATCTTTTTATCCTGGTTCAGGCTGAGGTACAGCTTGCTGAGAGTCTGTGAGCAGTGACAACAGAGGTTTCCTCTGCAGTGTTAAACAGCTTTGATGCAGTGTGGATCTTGTTAGTTTGGGATGCTGCAGGTGAGACTCCAGTAACTGCTCAATTTGTGGAAGCACTGGTTTGGAAAACCCAAACCTTTGGGGGTTTCAAAGGAGATAAAACCAAGCCATTGGTTGTTACTAGCCTTCATGTTGTTGTGCCAAAGTCACAGAGTAGAGCCCAACTGCTTGGCTTGGATTGCAGTGAGAGGCTGGGATCTGCTCTAGCTGAGATGGGAGTTTCCCAGCTCCACTGTCTCCCCAGTGTGGTAGCTGCTTTCTGGGGACAAGGCTTTCTGATAACTCGTATCTGTCATCTGTCCCCTTCTGCTTTGCTCCCACCTTGCCAACAGGATCAGAATCCTGAGTGCTTTTTGTCAGTTGGTTCAAAATTTTAGTGACAGGAGCTTTCACTACATGGGCATTGGAAAGGAAGCAGGTGTGGTGGGTTGTACTGCCACGTGACACAACTTCCCAAGGAGAGCAGCACTAAATGGGGAATTAAAGAGCAAAGCC